CATATCTCCATTTTATGATTTGTGGAAAACTGAAAGAGAAGCAATTGCTAGTTGGGGCCTATGGTTTCTCTATTTTTGAATATTTTTAGTGATTTGAGAGAGAGAGGAAGGGAAACGAAGAGAGAGATAGAAATATCAACATGGATCAGCTGCCTCCTGCTGGGATCGAGCACAGAACCTGGGCATGTGCCCTGACCAGGAATCGAACTGGTGACGTCCTGGTTCATGGGTTGATGCTCAAACACTGAGCAACCTGGCCAGGCCTGTGGTTTTTCTCTTTAACATGACTTAGAAGATACATGTATATGGAAAGGTCACTATAGTCCCACCCATATAAGGAGTGAAATGGCTTCTGATGGTCCTTGAAAGTCCCTAGTTTGCAATCTGTAAGACCTTTTTTCTTTTCAATCCTCATCCCAGGATATTTTTCCATTGATTTTTAGAGAGAGTGGAAGAGGGAGGGAAAGACAGAGAGAAATATCGATATGAGAGAAATACATCGATTGGATGCCTCCTGCACACGCCCTGACCAGGGCCCGGGCTGGGGAGAAGCCTGCAACCAAGGCACATGCCCCTGATGGGAATCAAACCCAGGACCTTTCAGTCCACAGGCTCAGGCTCTATCCACTGATCCACACTGGCCAGGGCTGTAGAAAATACTTTTTTATTTTAAATATATTTTATTGATTTTTTACAGAGAGGAAGGGAGAGAGATAGAGAGCCAGAAACATCAATCAACTGCCTCCTGCACACCCCCCACCAGGGATGTGCCCGCAACCAAGGCACATGCCCTTGACTGGAATCAAACCTGGGACACTTCAGTCCACAGGCCGACGCTCCATCCACTGAGCCAAACCGGTCAGGGCTAGAAAAGACTTCTGATATGGGGTCTCTGGATTTTGAAAGATGAAGTGCAGACAAAGAAAAAGAAAAATAGACTGTGAAGGAACACTTTGTGGGAGGCAGAGCTTGCACTGTCAACACAGTAAGAATGATTCTGGGGCCAGGTCTTGCCAGGAGACAGAGCGTACGGCACAGGCAGCCTTGCCCACACCTGCCCTGACCAAAACTTTCTCCTTCAGCAGAACCAAAGCCAGAGATCCACCCATGTCCCTCCTGCTCTGTGGCCTTCTCCAGTCAGACATTCCTCAGCCAACATGGGAAACGCAATCACCCCTCTGAGATTCTGCCAGGAGCACCTGCAGGAAACCACCTCCAGTCAGAGGAACCCGGCCCAGAGCGTCAGAATCAACAGCAGCAGCAACAAACTGGTCCACACGGCTGGAATGACAAAGCTGAAGGTCAAGAGGTCAAAGGAAGGTCCAAACCTTTGCTTAAAAGGATCAGGCAGAGGGGAACTTCAAGGGCCTCTTTCAAGCCTCCCAACAGACATATGGGGAGCTCCAGTGAGCGTGAGAGAATAAGGGAGGAAGAGCCCAGCACAGGCCAGAATGTGAATCACAAGAACACAGGCAAATTATTTGTGGGAGTAAAAAGGTCAAAAAGTGTAACAATCAAGCATGGAGGGTGTGGGCAAGGCTTCAATGATGGGTCACATATCGACACACACCAGAGGACACACTCAGGGGAGAAGCCATATATTTGCAGAGAGTGTGGGTGAGGCTTTACACATAAGTCAGATCTCATCAGACACCAGAGGACACACTCACAGGAGAATCCCTATGTGTGCAGGGAGTGTGGGCGAGGCTTTAGAGATAGGTCGACTCTCATCACACACCAGAGGACACACTCAGGGGAGAAGCCCTATGTGTGCAGGGAGTGTGGGCGAGGCTTGACAGAGAAGTCAACTCTCATCACACACCAGAGGACACACTCAGGGGAGAAGCCCTATGTGTGCAGGGAGTGTGGGCGAGGCTTTACACGGAAGTCAACTCTCATCACACACCAGAGGACACACTCAGGGGAGAAGCCCTATGTGTGCAGGGAGTGTGGTCGAGGCTCTAGAGTTAAGTCCAATCTCATCAGACACCAGAGGACACACTCAGGGGAGAAGTCTGGTGTTTGCATTGAGGGTGAATGAGTCATTAGCCCTAAATCGCACCTCAGCAGCTGTAGGTCAGTGTAGGCACCACATACCTCATATCCCAGCTCTGAGGGGCTTCAGAGGAAGCCTGCTGGCCCCTTCCCCTCCCCAAGAGTGTAATTAGTACAGAAGTAACTGGTCAAACATCCTCCACTTTTATGAGGAGAGGCAATAGACAAACAGTTCCTTAAGTGCTGTGGGGATGTCAACACCAATGTCCCCAAAGGTGTTTTTGGCCTCGTTTTAATAAAGTTTGTGTCCAGACAAACCTGAAGCTGACATGCCTCATCCCCCTTATCACTGAAAGCAGAGTTCCAGGAGGGCCACAGAGAACGCTCAGCCACAGACCTGAACCCGGGAAGGCGGACTCTGGCGTCAGTCCAGTGAGGTTCCTGCCAGGGAGAGGGATTGAGACAGACTCACCAGGAATGGGAATAGCCCCCCACCAAGCCCTCGGCTTCTCCTGGCTCCTCCCCTGATTCCTCCGACCTCTGTAGCCACAGAGGTGAAAGCCAGGGAGGGCGTGTGTGCACGTGTGTGTGTGTGTGTGTGTGTGTGTGTGTGTGTCTGTGCACGTGCACGCACTGTGCTGCCTCTGTCTGGGCACTGGTCGCCCTCTTCTTGCTGCCTCTGTAGCATTGGCATCTCGTGTGGGGCACAGCATGTGGGCCCCAGGTCCACCCCACAAGGGCTTGAGTCTCAGCTCTGCCCTCACAACTGTGTGACCAAAGGCCAGACCCCCAACGTCTCTGCCTCTTTCCAAGCTATAAAGTGGGAGGGTGGCCCAGCCTTTGGAGTGTCATTCAGAGTGGGGTCAGCACCGGCGCCTCTGGCTCAGGGTGACTAAAACGCGCGTCTCTCAGTGAACAGCGTCTGCCAGGCCTTGAGGTGACAAGGGAGGCAGAGGGAGTGGGACCCTGGGAGCCAGTTCAGAGTTCGAGCAGCCCCACTGCTCTCTGCGTGGACTCGGCTGCCTGAGCAGGAGGCATGGGGTCAGGCATGCGCCTCCCCTCGGCCACCCCCTCCCACTGAGCCTGAGCAGGCGGCACTGTGAGTGACCAGGACACAAGGCCCGCGCCACCCAGCTGAGAGCTGCTGGGTGCACCTCACCTCACAGTGTGTGCGAAGCCCACCTCGCAGCAGCTCCTGGTGCTGGCCTTGTACCTGGGTCCGCGGGTCTAACCCTCCCCTGACCCGTCTGAGATCCTTAATTGCACGTTTCTTACGGGGAGTCTGATGGGCCATGGACCCGCGTGAGCAGAGCAGGCATGCCGTGTCGGTCATCCTGGACACTGGTTCACAGGTAACGTCCACCGAGGCCGGGAGCACCGACCCTCATGGGCCCATGGGTGGGAGTCCAGCGAGGCTCCAGGGAGCAGGTAAGCGTCTGCCTTGGGAGGTGAGGGGGCCGATAGCAACCAGAGGCCCTGCTTTTCTTACAACAGAGCAGACGTCAATGCAGGAAGCAGGCACACCCAGTGAGGGCCCGTCAGCCCTCAGCCTGAGGGACCTAGCACAGCACCTGTTCCTGGAGGAGGGCTCCGGAAGGGGGCACCCAAACCCACGACCTGGGACCATGACCTTCCCTCTCCCGCCCGGCAGGTGTGGCTCAGTGGTTGAGCATCGACCTATGAGCCAGGAAGTCAGGGTTCAATTCCTGGTCAGGGCACATGCCCGGGTTGTGGGCTTGATCCCCAGTGCGGGGCCTGCAGGAGGCAGGAGATCAATGACTCTCTCATTGATGTTTCTCTCTCTCTCCCTCTCCCGTCCTCTTGGAAATCAATAAAAACACATTAAAAAAAAAAAAAAAGAACCTTCCCTCGCCGTGACCAGGCTTGTGAAGAGAGTCTACATGAACTAGGTGATTTCAATAATAATTATCCATTATTCTTTTCTCTATTTCATGCTTTTTTTTAAGGAAGGAAGATGTGTGTCTTCAGTTTTGTTTTCTTTCCCTGTGCAGCCCCGACCCCCATCCCCAGAGAAAACACCATGAACTGTCCATGTTCTGTGGCTTCCGAGATGGGCATGGAGGGCAGATCCTGGCGTCGCTGGGTGAGGAGCTGGGACTGATACAGTGGGGAGGGGACCACACACCACCAGGTGCTGCTCACTCCCCCCCACCTCCCCGGTGTGGCCATCTGTCCCCATGGTGGCCCCCACTCCACCTCTGTCTCCCAGGCCCTTCTAGGGTCCCTCCTTCATAGCAGGGCTGACCTGTGCTGTGCAAATGGCATGCGGCTCCCAGACCAAAGTCACAAAAAGGCACTTTTGCCTCAGCCTTGCTCACAGGGTCTCAGGGCCCCGTGAGCAGGGAGCTGGGAGTGTGCACCCCCCCCCCCCGCCCCTACTGCCCCCCTGGCAGCTGCCGGACTGAGCTCTCGTCCCCGACAGGCAGCTGAGTCCCTGTCCTGTCCCGGGGACACCTGCTGCCTCCAGGGCCACTCCAGCTGCACCCGTTGGCTCCTCAGCTCCTGCACCTGGCCCTGTGCTTGCCCTCGATGGGGCCGGCCACTGTCTCGGGACAGAAAGGACATCAGCCGCCGAGGCAACAGGACGGCCTGGCCACTGCCTCCATCACACCCCCCCACTCTGTGACCCCAGCGGCTGCCACGGGTGTTGAGGGCTCCATCTGCTTTCGCTCAGCTCATCTGCCCCCAGGTAAGGGCATGGCCAGCTTGGTTGGGGACCATAGTGGGCAGGTGATGGGGGTCACTCACCAGAACGTTCAGCCAAGAACCCAGACCAGCTGACTGCCCTCCCGGCCTCAGTGGACGTTACCTGTGAACCGGTGTCCAAATTTGTCTTCACTCCCAGACATGCTGGCTGAGCAGCACACACACACACCCCCCTCCCCCGTGGGAGCGCACAGATCACCATGGGGCAGCTCCTGCATTGAGTGTCTGCCCCCTGGTGGTCAGTGCGTGTCATAGCGACTGGTCGTTCCACCATTAGGTCGATTTGCATATTACCCTTTTATTATATAGGATTAACTCTATTTTAAAATTCTGCACACTTTTCCATAACATACCTAGTCCTAGTTGAGGTTTTTTCTTAAATATGACAATTTTGACATAATTTCTGAAATCCAAAGGTTTTGGCTATTTCAGACCTCAGGTCTCTGCTGGTGATGTGCAGTCGGGTTTCCAAGAGATTCTTCTATCTTTTCTTAGTCATGGAGGTAAAAATACCTCAATTATAGCCATTCCTGTTGTCTTACCATTTTCATTTCCTGTGCCAAGCTCAATTGTTTGGCATCATCTTTCTTCAATTATCTTCTCTACTTCATTTCCACAACATTCTAGCTTGTCAGAGTACTTCTTAGTAAGGTCCTTCAATGCTAAACCAAATCCTGTTTTCATCTGTGTTTGGAGGTTTCCAAGGTTGAATTCTGTCTTCCCTTGAAAACTGGGTCGATTTTGCTTGGAGACATTTCTTTTGCGCCGTCCTGAGCCACCAGGACCTGCCGAGTCCACGAAACATGTTCAGCCCCCGTTGCATTGAGGGCTGCACCTGGGGGCTGAGAGGGTGGAGGCGGGCAGAGCGAGCCTTGCACTCGATGGAGGAGCTCTGTGGTCCTGGGGAAGCGCTAAGACCCGCTGGCAGGGCAATTCCGTGCGAGGCAAGCTTCGGAGCGCAGAGCGGACAGCAGGCACTGGAAGGAGAGGAACGGAACATTCCGTGGGAAAGGACAATCTGACGGCTGCTTCCCTGCCCTCCGGCCTCCACAGGCAGCCCTCGTGCTCTCCCCCTCCCTCCCCTTCCCACCTCGTGGTGCTTCGTCCCCACAGCAAACCTCTGCTCACCGCCAGCACCCCCGCTGCTCATCCAGCTAGAACACGGGAACACCTTCCCTTGCTGACTGTAATCTGGTGGCCCATGTGGTGTGCCTGCAGAGTCAGGTCGACACCCCAGAGCACCTGTTTTTAAAATGTGGGGACAGGAGAACAGGCTGGAATGAGGGGAGAGGCTGGGCTGCAGCCAGTGTACTGAGAGGCAGTTCTGGGGTGGCCACTGAGCCGAGGACTGGACTGGATCTCCCAGAGCTGGGACCGGAGGCCATGCGTCACAAAGGCTGGAGAGAAGCCACAACATGCCACAGAGGCCCAGGGAGGAAAACATCTCCAAATCCAGGACGTGGACCCTGGTATCAAAAGCCACAGTGGCTACTCTGGCCAAGTGGTTCCGTTGGTTGGAGTGTCATCCTGTGCACCAAAAAGCTGCAAGTTCGATTTCCAGTCAGGGCACATACAGGAAGCAGCCAATCCATGTTTTTCTCTCTCTCTTCCTCTCAAAAAAAAAAAAAAAAAAAAATCAGCCCTCGCTGCTTTGACTCAGTGGATAGAGCATCAGTCTGTGGACTGAAGAGTCCCAGGTTCAATTCCGGGTCAGGACACATGCCCAAATTGCCCCTGCCAGTTGGAGAAAACCACTCTCCTGTGCCCCAACCCTGGTGGGCTGTGTGTCACTGTAAAAAAGGAAGAGAGAGACCACAGTGCACAGGACACGAGGACCATGGGTGAGAAGTGGCAGTGTCTGTCCTCCAGAAACAAAATGTCATCTGACACCAGGCCCAGGCCCCCCATCATGCAGGCCAGCTGCCGAGGTCTGTCCTGCATGGCCTGTGGCCTGAGCCACTCGCCCACCAGTCGGCCCCACCTGAGGCGAACTCGGGCTTCCTGCCAACTCCCGTGGGGCCGGCACCACAGGGCCTCCTGACGAGGCCGCGGCCTGAGCCTGCCGCCTCCTTTCCCGGAGCCGTTCCCGGAGGGGGCGAGGGCCCAGTGGACGCCCCGGGACACCCGCAGGCGGCGCTCCCGGGGGGACCGTTCTCTGTGAGGACCCACAGGCCAGCGGTGAAATGGGACAGGGCTGGGCCGGGTGCTCAGAGCTCAGCGCACCCACACCAGCTTCCTCCGGCCCTGCACCCACCACAGCCTCGGTGAGAGCCAGTTCCAGGCTTCTGTCGGTCAGGCCTTTCCCTGCCTCCCAGGCCATCCCAGAGCCGCTGGCATCTCCATCCTCAGCATCCTGGGGGGTTCCACAGGGTGGGGGGTCCACACGGGTCTGCAACAGGCGGGCAGCATCGGCCTCCACCACGTCCCGAGGCCCCCGTGGCTGGCTAGCGCCCCGATGCCACGGCGGATCTGGGCTCGGCGTCGGGCTCCACAGCGCCAGGGGACACGCACTCGGGCCAGAGCTTCCTCCAGGCTCTGTTCATGGTGGCGGGCTGCAGCTCTGCCCAGGCCTGGGCGATGTTGTCCACGGCCGTCATGACGGTATAGCTGCGCCAGAACTCCCGCGTGGAGGGCCGGCCAACACCAGCCTTCTCCCGGACCAGCTGGCCCAGTGTGCGGCGCAGGTAACGGGCCTTGAAGGCGGCGATGACGCCCTGGTTCATGGGATGGATCAGGGCCGTGTTCTTGGGCAGGAACTCCACATGCACGTGGGCGGAGAGGCTGCCCAGGTGGGAGGGTGGCAGGGGGCGCCGTCCAGGAGCAGCAGGGCCCGGTGCGGGAGGCGGTGGCTGGCGCAGTAGCTCTCCACCGCAGGGCAGAAGCAGCCGGCGAACCAGTCCTGGAAGATGCTGGGTGTCGCGCCAGACCACAGGCAGGCTGGCCTCGGAGCAGCCCTTGAGGGCGCGCGGGTTCTCGGAGGGGTACACCAGCAGCGGCTTCAGCCTGAACTCACCAGCTGTGTTGGCCCCCAGCAGCAGGGTCAGGTGGTCCTGAGGGGCGTTGGGCCCGGGCCTGGCTGCCCCCTCCAGCGCCAGCAGCATGCGCTCGGGCAGCCGCTTCCAGAAAAGACCTGTCTCGTCCACGTTGAAGACTTGCTGCGGGGAGTAGCAGCCCTCCTCCAGGATGCGGCTCAGCACGGAGGGTAGCAGGCAGCGGCCTGGGCGTCAGCCACCGCCGGCTCATCCGTGAGCAGCACGGTGCGGCGTGCCTTGAAACGGGCAAACCAGCCACTGATGGCACCAAAGGTCTCAGCCTGGGCGCCACCGCCCTGCTCCTGCTGCAGCTGGGCGAAGAGCCGCCGCGCCTGGTCCTGGATGAGCAGCGTGCTGACTGGCAAGTGCCGCCGTCTCTGCTCCTCGATCCACAGGCTCAGCCGGCGCTCCATCTGCCCCATCACCACACCCCGGCAGCGGGTCAGCTGCTCGGCGCTGACGGGCGTCGAGGCCTGAGAATTGGCCCGGATCTTGTCTTTGTTGACACGGATCGAGGCGACTGTGGAGGTGGCCAGCCCCAGAGCCCGGGCGATCTGCCTCAGCTTCTCACCCTCTTCAACCCTGCAAAGCACCTCCAGCTTCACGTGCAGGGTGATGGACTTCCGGTCCCGCTGAGCACTGTGGCGGAGGCCAATCCCACCCAGGGGTGCCTTGCCCGACACCTGACGGTGGGGGGTTGTCTTCATTCCGCCTCCAAGCGCCAGGCACCTCGACGAGCTCTGTACCCCTTGCCCCTCCTCAGTAGCTCCCACTGTGCCCACAATGGCAGCCTCTTGACCTCTCTGTAAGAGGGGGACACACAGGCATTAATACATGAGCACATGGGAGTCCCACCACTGCCCAGCTTTCCCACACACGGACACGGAGCACGGAGCCCTGCTCAGAGGCATGCCCGGCCCTTCTGCCCCCGCTCCCCACTGCTCAGAGGGCTGCACACTCATTTTCAAGCATTTTTGCATCCAGGAGAGCGTGTCACTTACTACTTTTAGCTCACGAGATCAAAACACAGGTGAGACTTCACTCTTCCCCACCCCCCAAACCTCCTATAACCACACGGGGAGCCAAGAGCATCCAGAAACCATCACCACCTCCCAGACACTGGCGAGCAGAAGAGCGACCCAGCTCCATGCTTCTCACTCAGACATCGGTCCTCAGTGAGGGAGGCGGGACCAGGACATCTCCCGACGACGACATCCACATCCTAACGCAGGGGCCTACGAACAAATAACCATACGCGGCAAGAGGCACCGCGGTGTGATTGTTTATCCTGAGAGGGGAGGGCGCCCTGGGTGAGCCCAATGGGCCCTCAATGTGGTCACGGGGTCCTTGTATGAGGCAGGTTTCGCTCAGAAGGCAGGGTGGGCACTGAAGCCCAGAGCCTCCAGCGGAGCCAGTCCTGCCGGAAGCTTGATTTTCGCCCAGAGGAACCCACTTCAGATTCCCGACCTCCGAGATCTAAGACATTTAGCACTAAGTTAGTAGTGATATGCGACGCAGTCACAGGAAACTCACGCGGAAGGGAAACTCCAATTCCTGCTCCCACCGCTCCCTGAGGGAGAGCCACAGCCTCGCCAGCTTCCTGGAGGGCGTCAGGGCCCCTCCTCTCCTTTGCTGAACCCGGACTCGGGCCTTTGCTCCTGTGGCTCCTTCAGCCCAGAGCTGGGGCCCTTCCCTCCTGTCTGTATAGCCTGCTCCCTCTCCTGCAAACCTCTGCCCGACGGTGCCCGATTGTGCATCTGTCACAGGCGGCCTGAGGACTGCAGCCTGTCTGCCCAGCTCTCTGCTGCGCCCCAGGCCCAGGAATATGCCTGGCACTTTGCAGGCAGCTAGTGGCGTCTTCCTGAGTAAGTGATTACGGGAAGTACATTGGTGGGACGGCCTTCTCACCTTATTCCCTTTGCATCCTGAACGCTGTGAGAGTAACGGCCACCTGGCTGGTCTGGCTCAGTGGACAGAGCGTCAGCCTTCGGAATGAAGGATCCTGGGTTTGATTCCCGTCGGGGGCACATGTCAGGGTTGCAGGCTCGATCCATACTGGGGGGAGGGCGTGCAGCCCATCAATGATTCTCACCATTGTTGTTTCTATCTCGCCTTCCCTCTCTGAAATCAATAAAATAATTTTTTTAAAAAACAGGTAAGAAAGTAGCACCTGATCAAAACAGTGACGCTGGTGGTGAAGGAGTGCCACGTGACAATCAGGGACAGAAGCCCATGGGAGTGGCCGTGGCTCCAGGGTCCGTGGCTGCACCTGGCGTGAAGCAGGAGGCACCGCCCACGGGCCGCGGAGCCAAGAGGCCTGGGAGGCTCCGGCGTGGAAGGCGGCCCCTAATTCCGAACCGCCCGCACCCATCCTTCTCTCTCCCGCCACCAAGCCTTCGCTGCTCCATCACAAGTTTAATTTAATTCGCCCATCCATCCTTTTACCCTCTCGCTCCCACTCTATGAAGTTCCCAGGCCCGCCGCCCTACGTCTCTCGAGACTACATTTCCCAGAAGGCCGCGGGGCCGCCCCAGGCTCCGATTGGCCCAGTGGCGCGGGTCCGAGGCTGCACGCTCAGCGGCTCCCCCCCTCCCCTTCCCGCGACCGGAGCCCTGAGAAAGGCCGCCCCCGCCCCCGGAGCCCGGCCTGCGCGCGGCCGACCGCCCTCACCTCCCGGCAGCGACGCGGGCCGCCTGCTTCAGCTGGGCCGGTGGGGCTGCGGCCCTTCCCCACGTCCTGCCCACAGCACGGCTCCCCGGAGCCGACTGAGCCTAGCCCCCATCTGGTCGTTGGAGGTGGAAGGTTGCCGGGCGACCGCCGGGATTGGAGGAGACCGCGTATGGCGCGCCTCCCACGTCGCTCTGGGCGCTCGGGCTGCTGGGAAATGTAGTTCGGTGATGAGGCTGTCGCTGCCCAGGCTGGCTTCCTTGCAGCCTAACTTCTCCTGGCATCTTCCCTGCCGGCTGCTCCGTCCGTCTTCCATCATCCTCCCTATTTCTTTACCTTCCTGCCTCTGTCACACCGTCTTCTCTTCCCCGTCTGTCCCTCACCCCAGAGAACTGGTTCCCTTCAGACAGTCAACATGTTATTTGTGGAAAAGGTAAAAAGGGGCGCGCTTTTCCCTCCCCCTGCTCCTTCCCCCAGGCTCGTTGCCTTTTCCCTTCTCTCTCCTTCGCTCCAAGGAACCTTCTTTTGCTTCTGTGACTTGTTTCCTGACCAAAGGCAGCCCAGCTGGATCACTTCTGCTTCTAACTTTGTCAATAAATTTCGTCTAATAATTTTTTTAAAAAGGTAAGTGAGCGGTCTCAAAGATAGATTTGCTTCACGCAGCGAACTACGAAGTTGACACAGGTGGTTCCCGAAAGATGGGAGGGAAGGTACAAGCGAGAAGGTTAAAGAACAAAATATCAAATAAAAACGCAGTGCGGCCCTAGCGGGTTTGGCTCAGTGGGTAGAGCATCGGCCTGCAGACCGAAGGGTCCCGGGTTCGATTCTGGTCAAGGGCACATGCCCGCGTTGGAGGCTCAAACCCCAGTAGGGGGCGTGCAGGAGGCAGCCGATCCATGATTCTCTCTCATCGTGGATGTTTCTATCTCTCTCTCCTTTCCTCTGAAATCAATGATAATATCATATATATATATATATATTTACTTTTTAAAAACGCAGTCGGATTAGTGCCCTCGAGGGCAGCGGGCAGCCGGGGTGTGTCGTGTCCTGCTGTGTGCCCTACAGGGTGACACAACTCAAACCCTGGGCTCTCTTTTCTCAGGACAGAAAGCATTTGCATCCTCTTCACCTTCGCAACGTAGCAGCTACTTCACAGGGTGCTGGACTCTGATCAAAGTGGCGGGAACAGTGCTTGCTGAG